ATTAAGTTGATGTAGTTTTAAACATATATACTAGGTACCTATATGTCCTATATGTAATCAATATTCATTAAACTGGCTATTAGACTAGGTATATAAGTTATATTATATATTCTGCAGTATTGCAGGTATTGAGTTTCTTCATTATTATTTTAATCTTGTAACTATAGGTATTCCTACTAAATTGTATTTATTGTAATGTTTATAAATTAATTATAGATGTTTGGTTTCTAACTCGAATATTACTATCTCAAAGTTGATTAATCGCCTAGTGTAAGCCACTTAAGAGTTTAAACTATATTGTCTATATTACTCTGAATTTTACTTAAATGCACGAAGAATAAAAAACCCCCGAAGAATGTTCGACCAATTCGAACATTTATATTGTTCCTAATGCCAAGTATTCTTGTTTATGTAGTATTATCCATTTATCCATAATGATTAGGATAATATTATATTATAAATAAGTAAATAATAATTACACTTGTCCAGTAATTATAATATGTATGATGTACCTACTTAGAGTACCTACACTTATTTAATAGTCGAATACTGGCTTCAAACGGGTTGTTAAAAATAGGGACCGTGCTCTATCGGGTTCCACCGATGGCAAACGTCGAATTGGTTCCCGTGTCAATTAAAGTGTACGAATTGGTTCCCGACAAAAAAATACTTTCCAGTATACAACTGTTCGAATTGGTTCCCGAATAAAATTACTTATCAGTTTATCAGTATACAAACTCACTGTTACAAGATACGTATAATATGCACAATCGATAATCTTATAATATTTTATTAGGTTTTACGATGTCTGGGAAAGTTTATAAATATAATTTTATATCTAATAGATTGATTATGTTTCGTCAGTCTTGTCACAACTAACCTAGTGTGTGCAGGGGCGGATCCAGAGTTAGGAAACTGTGGGTCAGGAAATTTCAAGGGGCCACTTATTAAAACCAAATTAGAAATCTATACTTGTGTACTAGGTATATAAAACAAAAAAAAGGTGCTCCGCTGTACAGTAGGTTACAAGTGGGTCACTGTATAATGGATAGTATTAAATTTGAATTCAATGATATAATATCATTGTATAAGAAAAACGATTATTTTCAAAATTGTACATTGTATAGGAAATGCTAATATGAACATTCAGTGAAATTTTAATTTATCTACAGTTATTTGTTTTTGAATTACAACAAAATAAGGAAATCTCTACATGAGAAATCGAGTGAATATCCAATGTTGTAAAAATTTGAATTTCAAACGCTCATAAAAATTTAATTTAACTTTCCGGTAGAGATTTTTTTATTGATAAAGGTAGACAAACTTATAAGTAATCTTGTATTACATTTTCAAATCTTAGATTTAAAAAGAAAAACTTTTACAAATAACTCAAAATAATTTTCTATATTTCGTGATTTTTCCATATTTTGTCAATTTTTGAACTTTAAATGCTTATAAAAAAAAATTGTGACTAACTATCATCTGCCTTTAAACAATATACTAGGAGCCTTATAATACATTTTCAAGCTTTCTAAGCTAACAAATAAAATTTTATTGATATTTTTAGAATAAAACTAAAAAAAAAATGGAAAACGAAAATGTCCCTAAACAGTTCAAAACAAATCATAATATTTTAAAAATTTTATCGTGTATAGAAAATGCAAATATAAGCAACCAGTAAAAATTTCATGTATTTACGTTCATTTGTTTTAGAGTTACACCAAAAACCAAAATCGATTTTTTGGAAAACAGATTTTGAGTAAAAATTTCCGTTATTCCTTAATTTTTATGTGTTTAATCCCGGCGCTTGTGAAAACTATTGGGAATTTTAACCTCCCGAATGCACCAACTAGATTCACTTTCCAATCGAACAAGATACTGAAGTTGAAAATCGAAGCATTATTTCGACTACCTATCGTGTACACAGACACAAAAATAAATCAAAAAAATTTAAAAAAAAACACACATTGTAAAATCAATACATTCATCGTTCCACTCAGAATCTAAAATTAATTTATACTATATGTGTGTTTATTTAAGTGACCAACTACTCAAGATCTGAAAAGAGGCCAATTTGATCAGAAAATATTAACTGTGGGTCAGCTGACCTCCTGAACCCTCCCCTAGATCCGCCCCTGAGTGTGTGCGTTAAAATGGAAGTGATGTTTAGTGAAAAAAATCAAAAAAATCTTCGTTATTAAGGGTTTCAAATACGGATTCCAAAAGGAACTATCGGGAAATATGGAACGTTGGACTTGTACAAAAAGAAAATGCACATCGTTTTTAAAAATAAATAATTAGTGTTTGAACTATTCAAACTTATATGAATTCTAGACAGTCCTCAGTCTGAATAAATGGGAAGGAAATTGTTGCTGGTTGAATATATCATAATAATTTGGTAAGTTCATTTAACAAGATTGTATTATTTATGGAAGCTTGTGGGAACCAACTCGTATGTTACCTGTAGACAACCCGGGAACCAATTCAACAATTCGTAGTCGTCCCCACCGATATTAGCTATCTGCCTATCTATACATTAAATTGAACTTAAAATGAGTCGTTGATCAACATTTTGTAATTTTTTGGAAGTAAAATTTACATCTGTGACCTCAACAATATGTATTTGTACTAATATTTCTGTAGGAAACTTATTTGATATTTCTGTTAAATAGATTGTGGGTATAAATATGGTATCTACATATTATTATTATTATAAAAAAACACGAAACTATAATATTTTGTTATTTTGTAATTTTGTATGTAGGTACCATTAGTCTTGTTTTTGAAAGGAATGTAAAGATCTTTTATTATAATTTATTGGTAGGTATATAGGTACCTAATTGCTGCATTAATAATATAACATGTTCTAGATTAAAGTCATTAGTACTGACTGCTGAGCCATAATAATATTATGTCATTTATTTCATAGTATTAGGCTTTTAGTGATTAAATAATGTTATTTTGAACTGAATATCACTATATAATATCAGTGAGATAGTACGAACTACGAAGGTCATAATATGAAAATTAATAATATTATAAACTATATTAGAGGGAATAAAGTATAGACACAATATTAATATATTATAGTAGTATAAATTAATATGCTGCATATAATATATTTTATATAATGTCATTTCAGAGTATACAATAAGAGGTCGAGGTATACATATTATACCCTTATATATTAATATATTATATATTTATATTATACTTAGTACAACTACATAGTGGTGGATTGGCCAGATCGGTCTGCTAATGTCTTGTAAATTGTAGCACACCGGGCTGGTTCAATATTTGGCCAGTGGGCAGTGGGGCTGCTGAACATTTGACAATTTGTATTACACATTATTACTAATCATTGAATAATACTGGGCCGCCTCCCAGTCCACCCTATCTATAGGTTATGTAATGATTTTATTTTGTCACCGTAACCCGATTAACATTAGACCGTAGTACAGTTAACATTTTAATGAATTATTAATAACATGTAGGTATCTTATTATTACAATATTTGATCAAATCAAATTATATAAGTAAATAGCCGTTCAGTGTTTATTCGTTGAAATATAAATAATAGCATTGATTATAAATATAATATAGTATTTATAACCAATGATAAAAGTTATATAATATGCTTTTATGATCAATAGCGTGTTCTAAGATAAAACAAAAGAAAAAAAATGGTCTTATAAACAAAATTGTGATGTTTTTTTTTTTACGTAGGTTAAAGATGGAGTAGGGATAGGCACAATTAATATATTTATGATTTATCCAAATCAATTTATGATAGTACCTATTTTTCGTTTTCGGTTGTGTGAGCAACTGATTACTTCAGAATTTAATAAAATATTTATTGTAGTCAAGGATTGTATCTTCGTAATAATCGTTCCCATTTTTTTAACGTTTAAAAGTCTGATGATTAAGGTCACGAGTGTTTCGTACCCGTTCGTATATTGTGACGTGTATGAAAAAATAATAATAATAATAATAATAATAATAATGATAGTATTGGATATAATAAAAAATAAAAAAAAACGGTAGGTCAGTTGACTCGTTTACTCCCTCCGCACCGGGACATGTACGTACTACGTAGGCACAACAGCCGTATAATTTGAGTGTGGGTAAAAACTCGACGGCTCGCAAAAGTTGCAAATCGAGTGTTTGTATACAATTATTACAGCCGCGGAGGCGAATTGGTCAAACGCGCGCACGCGAGACGACGTGTGAAATCGAGAGGGGGAGGGGAACAGTGTGTCCGGGCCGGACGATAAAAAAAAAAATATTCAATGCTGATAGAGAAAATGAAAAAAAATACATTATAATATTAAATATTTTAGCAATGGAAAAATATTATAATTTTTCTTTTGTGGATAAACGGCCGGCGCCAGGGCAGAGTTTGTGTTAGTAAAGAGTAGTTCAATAATAGTAATAATAATATAGTGATTAAGTCGTCCCGGCGTCGTCGTCGGGGCAATCGCCAATCGCGTTATTATATTTTCGACGGGTAAGCGGCTTGCCGCGGTGAGCAAGCTAGCGCTGTAACATCAGCTCACGACTACTGTTGTAATAACTCCAACTGTTCGGCGTGCGTCGGCGTCGAGGACATTCCGGACGGCGCTCGCCGGGGACATTCCGGTCGGCGCCGGTTGGTCGCACTGCGCGCGGTCTGCAAAACAGACGGTCACCCACGCAGATAAAGGGATAAAACTGAGTTACGAAAAACAACAAATGAGATAACACGTCCGTTCATTATTAGTTATTACACGCGCAACAAGAACGGCTATGTGTAATATTGTTAAGTAAAAAAAAAAAATTGTAACACTAATAACAATAATAATGCTTTAATAAAAAAAATAATAAATCATATTGTACAAAACAAAATATCTGATAACGTCCTTTTAGTTTAAGTGTTGAAATTCGATCCGTCGGTAATCTTTAATATTACCTATATATTTTTGTTTTTTTCTCCCGTTTTTTTGATTTACAAATGACACAGCATGTACTGCCAGCCAAACTGCAACAACTCTACGTCCAAATTGAAAGATGGTATGTAGATACTACATTAATACGTTTTTGTCAGAGTCAGATAACGTTATTATTGCATTTATAATTGAATTACAATTCGAATATTGGGTATTTTAAATCACAGGGTTCCATCACAAATTGGATGAATGTGGTCACAATATTATGTAGGTTAAAGCTTGAAATTTGTAGAAACATGGATTTTAGTTTTGTCACCAAGCCAATTTAATAAATTTTATAAGGAATGTAAACTCTATAAAAATTGTGTATATTATTTTTATCAAGCATTTTAATGTGTGTAATATGCACATACAATTTCAGATATTTTATAGTCATAATACAAAATTCTCAATGATTAGCTGGTCGGGTTGAAAATAAGGTTCTTTTTATTAAATATAATATATACTTTTAAATGATACTAATACATTGTTGATCATTTTGATACCAAACATTTGACTATTTTAGTATATACAGTGAGTATCGTTTAATGTGATAACATTGGTTCAGGCCATTTTGATTCTATTAACCAGTTGATTCCATAATCATTTTTTTTTTCAGTATACTATTTGGTTTGGGATTTTCATTTTTGATTCCAATAAACGGTTGATTCTATAAACCAGTGATCACATTAAGCGGAACTCACTGTAGTGTGTATACCTTGATATTATGTTTAATATTACCTGAATAGTAAAATAGTAATGCCATAACTGATTCATATTTTACATTGTCACTTGTATAGTATAAAGTATTTCAACTATAGGTGTTTTAATTAGTTATCAAACATTTAACATTTGGCTGACATACTTATTTTGTACCTACCTATCCTACGTCTATCTTATACGTTGCGGCGTCGTTGCCTGTATTATATTAGGTATGTATTTTCAAAGATAAAATTAACATGATATACCTACCAGGGTACCTAGGTACTTGTGTAAGAAGCACTTATAGCTACAGCCTTTTTTTGCTCATTACTACAAAATTGTTTATATAATGTTTTCTTATATTAATTTATAAATCTCATTTATTTATCTAGGTACTTAAATTATGCTATTGCATTTATTTGCTTAATAGGTACTTGTCGATATTGTATACCATAAATATACTCACCTAGTTAGGTATTATTATAATTTATATTAAGTTTATAAAAACATTTTGACTACCTACAATTTGTAATAATAACCCAACTGTATGTAATATATAAATATAAGTATATATGTAATCAAATATTTTGTTAAGGTTGTCATTATTTCCTGGTCACTTCAATATTATATTTTATTATACATATTGTGAAGAATTTTTATTTTTATTTTTTGACATTTTAGCTCTTCTTTTTGGAAATGAAAAATAATGTAGTTAATCCTGAAGTAAATTTTATACTTAATAGTACCTACCTATTATTATTATTTATTATTTACTTATATTTCAGCCAAATTAATTATAATTTATAATTAAATAATTACATTAAATGTCATTAATAATAGCTGATACTTATACTAACTGATATATAAGCTTGTATCTGGTATACCTATATTTTATATGTGTACCTACCTATGAAGTTTAATATTTGACATGTATCCCTATTGTAAAATAATACTTATTTTATGTTTTCATAATGTAACACCTAAATTATGTTCCTAAAAGAGAATCCTCAGTTTTCACGCTTGTCAACCAACGACTATTGCGGTGTTGAACTCTAACTTTACAACTAACATAGAATTTGAAGTTGACATTACCCGACAGCCCTTGTTCAAACTCACTAGATAATGGTTAGGGTCAGGGTAGAATATTTTATTGTAAGTAGGTAGATTTGATTTATTAAAGTAATTTATAGATGATTTTGTTCAGATTGATTCAAACCCTTAATTTGTTGGGTTTAACTTTTGATTTTATTAATACAATATAATAGTGTTTATATCATGTTTGGTCTGTTATATTTTTAAACTTGTTAAATAATCTGATAATCTGATTATCTGATCTGTACTTAAACAATTTTAATTATTAGAACTTAATTACCTAACTAAATACTAATACATATATTGTTAATTTTTTGACTATTAAGTTTACATAACCATTAAATTACCTGCTGTTACCTACTTATTAAAAATTTGGTATACATATTGAGAATACAAATATTTATTTATTTTTAATTAACTTAGCAATTCTCAGAAATCTTATTTTTTGCTTTTCTTTGAATGCATGCATACATTTAAAATAGTTAGTGCTAAAAAGATGTTTCATATTCATTTTACTAGTCTTCTTATATTGTACTATTACTTTACCAAAATTACCAAAATTAAGTAAGTTAGAATCAAATCAATTACATCATAGGTATGTAGAGATTCAAAGACAAATGTTTAATAACTGGTAAGTTGTTATCTCGGTTGTTATGTAACAAATTTATGCAGATCACTTTTTTGTCACTTTTATGAATAAATTCAGTCACTTAGTCACTTTTTTAAATAGCTTTAACCACTTCCAGCCCTGTATCACAATTCTTATTTAAAAATAATTAATTTTTAACTTTAAACACTATTTGTAGGTATAATAGTATTGTTTTTTAATCATATTTTCATAATATTAGTAAATTATTATACATGTTAATACTAATTAAAATAGAAAAAATATTGTACTTAAATTAATTATAATTATAATTATATTTTAATTTCAAATTTACAGTAACATAGGGGCTAATATAAAAAATGTATTGTTTAAAAAATCTGCTATATCTATATCTATAAGTAGGTAATATTATTTTTGTTATTTATGTAGTTAGTAATTCTGTATCATAATTGTACATAACTAAAATAATAATTAGGTTATGCAATTAAGATTACTTCAGAAATACAGTGTGTAAATTCTGAGCTTATTTGTATCTGTGTACAACTTGAACTAAAATGTACAATATCTGTAGTTATGTAGATAGCAAGGTAATTTAGTTGTATGTATCTATATAAAATGGATACCAATGATTATATAAAAAAAAAATTTAATTGGTAAAAATAAAAATAACTAAGCACCTAATCACTAATACATTTTAACTGTATGTGTTATAATTCAGAGACTTAAAGCTTTAATTAATGAAGAGATAACACATGATTTTTCTTTTTTTTGTTGTGTTAGGTACTTATTAATAATTTTTTAAGTATATAATAGGAATTCTAGACAAATTTTTTATTCCTTAACTCTATCTTCATTAGATTGTCTAGACTGCACAACCGCCCTTTTTTTCGTACAAACTGGACCAATAAACTTTCATCAGCGTTCGGATTAATATCCAATTAGTATTGTATTGCATAAAATGTTAAAAGGCTTTACTAAAATCATTATTGAAACCTTTTAAGTATAAAAACATAACATCAAGTGAACATTTATGTGTCATTACTCATTAGTTTAGTTTGAATATTTCCATCCCAAATGAACTGTAGTTTTCAGATGGAGATCATTCTAGAGGCCCCTGATGATAATTTACGTTCTAAAATAATTATTACACGTCTGAGGGTCTCCTGCTGAGCTTCTGGATAAACGCATACATTATGGTCGATTGCCTCTCAAGGGTGTGAACAGTAATTTATTGCGCCCTTTTTATTTCTGGAGTTTCTCCCCTTTTACTGAGGTTTTGCGGATGGAATATTGTTTCCTTACACTATGCCGCTATATTCCAAACATCAAATGAAATACCTTCTATCATAGTCGTATAACAATGACCTAAGGTATCGTAATATTGGATTTTATTGCCTAGGGCTGCTGAAATTATTACGTATAATAATTTCGACTAAAAATTGTTTTTTATATAAAATAAATGTAATCGAGATAAAAATGTACAAAACAAGACAATTCTGTATGTTTTGATGTATTAAACTAAGTAAGATATATTTATTAAGTTATAGCAAGTACTTATAGCAATATATACATTTATTATAAAATATCCTTAGAAGTACTTATGCTAATGGATCATCTCCGCTCAGAATCGTTTTCGTATTTATTGCATTCAAATTCAACAAATCCATTACTGCAGTAACCTACTCAATGCAGAGACCCTCGACACCTATACTATATACCAGAACCAAGTTTTTATTTTTAGTGCCCCGTAAGAAGTTGACTTATATGTTATAACTTAAATGTTAACTACATATCGTTCAAAAATCGACGGTTATGTATCGAATTCTAATAGATAAACTACTTTGTAAAACAAAATGAAAAATATATGTTTTCATTCAAAAAAGTAAAAAAACTGGTAACTGATAACGATACAAATAGTTAAACATATTGTTAGTAAAGAAGTCAAAATAAAACTATTTTCAAAACAATTATAAGAACACTACATGATACGCAACCACAGCACGTGTTGGCCCGTTGTACAAACGTATACAACATAGCTCAGAAAAATCAATTTTATGTATGTAAAATATTACAATTTTAATTATATTAAAATTAAACTGAAAAAATAAAATCTGGGAAGCAAAAATTTGTTATGTTTTTGAAATAATGATAAATGACCCTTTTTCTAAGGGCATTTTATATAATATTTTTTTGTATATTGCTATACGTAATTTATTTTTCTATAAATAGTAAAATTATAATATGTTGAACTATAATTTTTTGCCAAATACATCTCATACATCATTATTTAAAATTGTTTTTTTACTATAATATATTATTATTGTAATTAACTTATACCACGTATAGTAGAACGGTGTGAATTGTTTCGTTATAGGTTTATTAATAGCTTAAAATTAGAAGGTATTGATATATTTTAAATTTTATTGAGTATAGAAAATAATAATGTACGTTGTGACTAATGACAAATAGTTTCTAGTCCTTAAATATTTTTTGAACTACAGCATAATATGAATAAAAATTTATTTTTCGTTTAAATATTCAATTTCGTCAGGATTCTTTGTTGGACGATTTCTTAAATATCTATAAAAAAAAAACTAATTGTTATGTGTTTTTAATATTTTTAGAATGCTGGAGTAAAAACTTTTGTATTAAGAACCTTAAATCTTGAAATCCAAAGCTATTGA